GATATGCGGAAACTGACCTGGCAGTTGTTGCCAAAACAACACATGATGGAACACCTGCCTCCTGGCCAATGCACATGTGAGTGTTTGACTTTCAGTCTTCTCCCCCAAAAGGGCTGCGCACATTTCAAGGTGTTTGGATTGGATTCCGATGTTTGGCAATTGCCGTCATTATTCACTCTATTTGGATGAAGATTTGGTTGGCAGAATGAAGTGGCTAAGCTTCATCTTATATGAAAATGTGTTCTGGGAAAAATCTAGCTTCAGTCTACTGACGCGCGCCTTAAGGAGGGTCATTGCGCACACGCATGTCCGGACCATGAGCGTAAACGCTCTGAACCACTACGCGATGAGTGTGGCATTGCGGTGGGTTGGCAAAGACGCCCTGCTGACCACACGCCTCTGAGGAAAAAATGTTCCCCATCACTTTTGTCGAATTCACCTCAAAGACTGTTTGTACCGCGCGTGGTTTCGGAGTGGGTCCAAAAAATATACGTATATATATATATATGCTTTTAATAGTTTAGGATGTGCTTTTTACGTTTCTAGCTGGCTCAAGCGTGCACTCACCGAAGTGTGCAGGTCCGACAGGCTGGAGCTCTCTATGGTGCGCAGGTCTGTGCGTGCCCAGTAAGCTTTGTGAGTTGCGCGCGGCTCCTTCGCTCTAAGCTTTTGGTACCGAGCGCATCCCTGTGTATCCAAGAAAGCCTGAATTCACTGGGCAAAGCAGGCCGGTTAGCACTATAAGTCCACCGGCCTCAAGGTCTAACCATGAGTGCTCACAACCTCTGTTGGAAATGCAGGCGAGAGTGCGATTTGTCCCGCGCGCGCGTAACCCTCTGCGGAGATCGCGTGTCGAGTGCGCGGAATGCAGGCGAGAGCGCGATTTGTCCCATGTGCGCGCAACCCTCTGCGGAGATCGTGCGTGTCGAGTGCGCGAAATGCAGGCGAGAGTGCGATTTGTCCGCGGCGTGCACAACCCTCTGCGGAGATCGCGCGGGTCGAGCGCGCGAACTGCAGGCGAGGGTGCGATTTGTTCCAACCAGTCCCACGCGCGCGCAACCCGATGAGCTGGCGACGGCGGAGCGCAACTTTAGTGGGCGGAGTCGCGGAGTATCTGGGGAGCTGGAAGATGAGACTAGTGACTTGGTAGTACAACTTGAGTATACGCGGAGTATCTGGGGAGCTGGAAGAGGAGAACTGGCGACTCTGTAGTACAACTATAGTACGCGGAGTATCTGGGGAGCTGGCAGATGAGAGCTGGCGACGTCGTAGTACAACTTTATAGCGGAGTCGCGGAGTATCTGGGGAGCTGGAAGATGAGGACTGGCGACGTTGTAGTACAACTTTAGTAGGCGGAGTCTCTGCAAAGGTGGAAGATGAGAACTGGCGACGTTGTAGTACAACTTTAGTAGGCGGAGTCTCTGGCGAGCTGGAAGATGAGAACTGGCGACTTGGTAGGACAACTGTAGTACGCGGAGTATCTGGGGAGCTGGAAGATGAGAACTGGCGATGTGTAGTGCAACTTTAGTAGGTGGAGTCTCTGGGGAGCTGGAAGATGAGAACCGGCGACTAGTGACTAGGTAGGACAACTGTAATACGCGGAGTATCTGGGGAGCTGGAAGATGAGAACTGGCGACTTGGTACCTGGTAGTACAACTTTAGTACGCGGAGTTTGGGGAGCTGGAAGATGAGAACTGGCGACTTGGTAGTACAACTCCAGTACGCGGAATAGCTGGGGAGCTGGAAGATGAGAACTGGCGACTTTGTAGTACAACTTTGCGCTACTTGGTTCACTATATCTACAGTGAAGAACTTCACCACTTGGCCTTACCAGCAGCTCAAATGCTCACGAAGTTGAGCTGAGCTGTCACCGCTTGGCCGCCGGTGGGGGGTTTGGGAGGCCTGCGCGCTACTTGGTTCACGTATATGTCAAGAGTGAAGACCTTCACCATTTCCCCTTACCAGCAGCTCGAATGCTGGCGCTTGCCCTCCGGTGAGGGAGTTACAGCTTTGTGTCCTAGGGGCCACAGAGACCCACAGATGGAGAAACATAGTTCACACGACGTACGTGGAAAGACATACACACACAGACATAGATACACACACACAGAGACCCACACACTGCCTCACACTCCACTTAACGCTTCACACTGAACACTTAACACATAACTCACACTCTGACTTCACACGTGATGAAAAATGCTTTCGGGCCACTCGTCGTCTAGTTATCGGTTTAATAATAGCAAAGGCCACCAGAAACAGCGCCAGGAAGGAACTCAACTTTTTGGCCACAGAATCCTAGGAAAAAGACGGTGCGATTGCTCGTGCTTTTTCTTGTGTTTTTTTGGCCGTTTTGTCGCGCTTGGTTTCGTGTCCTCTGGCGTGCTTGCGTTACAGCTGTTTTGTTGTGATTGCGCCGCAAAAACCACAGAAACATTGTTTTAAATTAGAGTTGACTTGACTTCTGTTTCCTTTCTTTTTGCTTCACAAAAAGTACTGCTTTTGCCCGCAGGCTGGCCAATATCAGTGTAGATTTGTTCACTTTTCTTGCGCTCTGTAAAGTAATGTAATGTCGCATTATGTCATGTCATGTTGTAAGTTATGTCATGCAACGTAATGTACGGAATGTATGCAAACTATATGCAATGTATTAATGTGTGAATGCGTGTATGATGTGCGTGCGCGTGGATTATGTCTGTATGTACGTATGGTATGGTATGGTATATGGTATGTGGTATATGTGGTATGGTATGGTATGGTATATGGTATGGTATGGTGTGGTATGGTATGTGGTATATATGGTATATGGTATGGTATATGATATGGTTTGGTATGGTATGGTATGGTATGGTATATGATATGGTATGATATGATTAGGTTTGGTTTGGTTTGGTATGTATGTATGCATGTATGCATGCGTGCATGCGGGTATACCTTTTGAGGGGTCTTTTCAACCGCCTGTGTCGAGAGGGCCTTTGCGCTGGGTGGGCTTTGCCACTGAGCTAAAAGTAGTCGACCTGGCATGAGCGACTTTGCGTGGGGACGCAGGACCTTTGTCAAGATGATGCGTTGTTTTCCATTCTGCATGGCCTGACCCCTGCATAGGTGGCAGGAGATCTTGTTTCCAAGCTGCCGCAATTTGCGGGTGCTTCAAGCCGTCGCGCATCTGGATCTCCAGCTCCGGCTCAGGCTGGTGTGGACATGGTTCATGGACTTTGCAGCGCTTCTAAAGTCAGCCCCTGATGAATCCTTTCCCCGCGAGGCCGACACTGGGCTCCACCATGCTCCACCATTGATGTTGACCTTCAACAAGTTGAGACATGCCCTTTCGGACGAGGCGTTTCTTGGCCTACTTAGTGTGTTTGACAGGTGACTTTGTCTTCTCCTTGGTGTGCGCGAAGTGATCGTCTGAGGCTCTGATGGCTGCAATGCGGCTAGCGGCAATCCCGTTGATCGCCTCATGCATGGCCTTCGTCCAAGCCATTTGTTTGACTTTCCAGATCCGCATTGTAGATGACGCTGTCAACCCAGCATCACGTTGCCGCCAGCGAAGCTGTGGCACGGTCTGAACATCCTGGCGCCGCATACAACCCAATGTATTTTCAGACACTCGCCGTCGACGCCGCTCCTAGCAGCCATGACCTTCGGTTCCAGACATGTGTGTCTGCCACTGCTCATCATCAAATCCATCAAGGGCACTTGTGCCGCGTTGGGACCATTACCGGCGCGTCGCTTGGGAAAACAATTGCCCTGCGCACAGACAAGCGGTTGAACATCATTGTCCAAAATGTTGCTGCCTGGAAAGCTTGGACCAAAAAGGGCAAGCATTGTAGGGAAGTGCGCCGGTTGATTCAGCTCCATGGCCGAAGAGGGTCCCCATCAGGGTTGAAATCCGGTGGTTGGCAGAGATTCGGATTGATTCTGCTGGTGCCATTGCAGACCCAAATGAGATGCTTTGTGTCAGCAGGGACGTGACAAAGAGGACAGGTGCGAGACCTACCACCATCTTTCCCGTGAACTGGCCCAAGACTGCGTCTGCTGCTTGGCTTGGGGATTGAGCTTCTAGTCGGATTGTCGAGCTTGCGGTGTCTCATGCTTCCCAAGCGTTGCTGAGCAGCTTCAGCCTCCTCATCATTGCGTTTCAGGCCGGGTCCACTGCCAGGTGCAAGTATCTCCTTGCTCCCAGGCGTGGATGGGATGAGGGTCCTGCCTGGTACTTCTCCTGATGGATGTCATAGACGGTGTCCAAACAAACTCCCTGATGATATAGCCCAGATGCTTGGCAGTGGCGTTGTCATGGCTTGGCGGTAAACTTTGTCAGGGGTCTTCAGTCTTCAGCTGTCACGGTTTGATGCGCCGTTGCTTGGCCTTCTGGAAACGGCTGTGGAAGACTTTGATACGGCGGGTTTGCGCAGCTTGGTGATCAACCCTCATCTGGTCCCAACCTCTCCTTCAGAGCTTTGGTCACCTCAGTCACCTCCTTGTCTGTGGGGATGAAACCCGTTTTACCAACGTTGACTTTGAGGCCATGAAGATCCGGCCAGGCACCAACAGCTCTGCCTGCACTTCAAGAGGTGATGAATGGTGTCAAAGCCAATGTCATCCGCCCACTGTTCAACCGGACATGTGGATGAAAGGCAAGCTGGGGGGCCAGCCAAAGATGTAGCGCCGGGTATGAAAGATATCTGGCAGCACTTGCAAAGACATTGAGGTCAATGTGGTCGTTGAAGCAACTGAGATCAGCCAGCTCTGGCGGTCTCCATCCGTGCCATCGCTCTATGTGTGCAATGCAAAGCCTAAAGCAATATAATGTAGTGTGATATAATGTAATGTATTGCAATGGAGTGTACTATGTATGAATGAATGAGACTGCGAATAGCAGTTCATATTGACCTGGACCAAGCAGCCCCCAGAAAGACGTTGCAAACGACTGGTCGTTGGCGAGGAAAAATGACTTCAGTTACAAAAACACTCATGCGATCCGCCAGTTTGGCACTGAGGCACAGCAGACTGGTGGCATGTGAGTCTGACGCCAGCGCCTTTGTTCTGTCAATTTCGAGGCCGTGCTTCCAGCGAAAAATTGATAGGGTTTACTTTGTATTCAGGCCAACCACAAGTCCCTGCGTGAGCGTGTCGATTTCCTAGAAAAACTCCTGGGTGAGTCTGTGGACAAGCATTCTGAGGCGCCTCAAGCAAGAATTATCAGAAAAATCATGCAATTTTTTGATGTCCGTGCGGTGGTCTGAACGTATGCTCAGGGCCTGCAAGCTGCGCACTCAAACCTGCAAAAGCTCCATGGCAGCTTGCAGGAACAGATGTCAACCAGGCTGGCGCAAACCATACTGGTAGCAAGCCAATGTTATATGCTTAAACCAGATTCTGATATTGATTCCTGAAACTGGAAGAAAGTCAGATTTAGCAACTGGATGCAGCCCCCTCCCTCCACAAAGCACGCAGCAAAAAACAATGGGGTCAAAGCAGTCCTTCCAAAAACCATTGATTTCAACTCAACACCCAAACAGTTCAGGCCAAGAAGTATGCATAATCCCACCGGCAGAGGATAAGGCCCGACCCAACCCACGCAGCCAACGAACAAAACTGCGCAAGAAACGTAAGTGGAAACCAGCTTCAGGCATATCACATCTGTGGGGAGGAGCCCGATTAACATTGGAGATCTGAAGTTTAAACAGTACAGCTTAACAGCGCCCACCAGTCATCAAAGACAATGGCCTCCACTGACCTTATCTAGCTGCCACAAGTAAGATCAACCATTTCAAACTAGTTGCGGAAGCCTAGTTGCGGAATCTAGTCGAGTTGCGGAATCCGATTTAATCCCATGTTATAATTACAATTAAATAGTTACTCTATTTGAACATGTTTTTCAACTGACGTGTCGATCTGACATGTGTGGTGAGTTTCGTTTGCAGGATGGAGAAGCTTCATGGAAACGTCCAAGAAAGGCTCCAGGCCATTGAGAAACAGCTTGGAGCCACAGTTTAGTGTTGTATGTGCAATAGCGAATCCTGTTCCTGTTGCCGGCTGTACAACAAGGCTTGGACAAGTTGATGACCGCAGGGCCGGAAGCTCAATGGAACACTAGCTTGAGAGAGGTCGTGTGTGTGTTGAGCTTGTTGGACACAGGAAGCCCATGCTCGAGAGTTGCAGCAGGTCGGAAGCTGTTGTGTGAACACTGTCAGACATTGGGCCACGCACTCTTCAGACACAAGGTCAAAAGCCAGGTAGACCAAGCCCATCAAAAGCTGGGAAATCCAACCAAGCCCCAAAGTTTCATACTTAGCCTTTGCCGCTGGGGCACATTGTATTTTGATAATTGTGTTGCTGTGACAACACCCACGATGTTCCTGAGGTTCTTTGCACCATGCTACGATGGCAGAGAGAATGGAGTACTTGGAAAAGCTAATGGGCGATTCTGCTGACAAACATTCAAGCGAACTCGGGCAGGCCAGAGACGACACGCTGAGAATCTTTACTACATTGCCATACCACGCGCGACCGTGTCGTTTAGAAGCATTGCAGTCCTTTGCGCTTCGGAGAAGTTTTTGACAAGTGTCCATGCAAACGAACCATTTTCAATCCGCGCCCGCGATGAAACTTTATTGCTGATCGCTCATTTCAGGCACATACAAAGCTCGATCAGCTTCGAAGTCGCCTCACTGATTTGGAGGCTGAACTTGCGGGGAACGCACCATTCGCGCAGACACTCATGCACACTCGTCATGCTAAAGTCAATAGAATATACTGTACAGGGCAACTCGACCACACAATTGTTCTGTATTATCCTACACAAACTTACTTCCCATATCGTTTCATCTAATTTTCACTGGCGACCGCTACTTGTATATTTGTACTCGTTTGTAGACACCTCTATATTTCTATACTAGCCTGCAGACAGCTCTATGGCTCTACGAAACAAGCTTTCACTTTTTATGTTCGATCTCTCTTTAATAGCTTTTTTGTGCTTTTCGGTGGAGCAAAGGTCATGGGTTCTGTCAGCCCCCGCTGCAACATTGGCCAACATAGCCCCAAACTGTATACGCAGTGGCTCCCACGATGACAAGTGCGTACAATTGCAAGTTCTCTGGTCACGGAGACTTGCGTGGCAAAACGACGCGCAGCAGTGTTTCCAAACTGATTATGCGATTCAATTTCGACAGGACATGTGACATGTCAATGTCAATGTGACCGTACTGCAACATGTTGGCGCGCAATCAAGAACTCGACCCTTCGAAAGTGCAAATTTGTTGCGCGAACCACTTTGGAATCTTTGCGGATCTTTGAGCAGAACCAAAGACAGAACAAATCAGATCTTCATGTTTTCAAAGTATACACTGTATACACTTTTTCCACTCAGCTCATAGCGTAGATGTATCGCATCACTTGCACCATGAAGAGTGCATGGTACTATTGCAGCCCTTTTGGGACTCAAGAATTAGCCCGGCAAGAGACCCCAAACGGTGTGTGTGAGGTCTGTAAGAAAGATCTAGACGCATTGGGGTCCAGAGAGGTGATGGTGGTGATGAAGTGAAGGTGGGTGTGAGTGAGTGTGGGGGTGAGAGGGATCGTGGGTGTGAGTGAGAGTGAGAGAGTGAGTGTGAGTGCGAGTGTGAGTGAGAGTGATGTGGGTGAGAATGAGAGTGAGAGTGAGTGTGAGTGTAAGTGAGCGTGAGTGAGAGTGAAGGTCGGTGTTAGTGAGTGTGGGTGAGAGTGAGAGTGAGTGCGAGTGAGAGTGGGAGAGTGAGTGTGAGTGAGTGCGAGTGTGAGTGAGAGTGAGTGTGGGTGAGAGTAAGT